TTTGGGTAACTTGATAGGCAGTTGTAAGAAAAAGGATGAATTTACAGGCAACCAAGACACTAAACCTCTCAATCAGAATTAAGAACCAAGGCATTTTTTAACTTCACACCAGACAGTTTCCTATGTCTTTAGTCATGAAAACAGCTCAAAAAATTTGAGAAAAAATCAGGCAGCTGTATACAACCAGCTTTATAGTTTGTACAAGCAGTGTAACATGGCTACTAAACTGCTGCTCCAAGAAATTAAAAACGTGACAACAGCAGTAGAAATGCAGACAAGAGTCTTCCTAGAACAAAAGTTTTGCAAAGGAGGAGGAAAAAAGTTACACAGAATACTAATCACTGTGTTGGAGACCCTGGGTAGACTCAAGGAAATAGTGGAGTGGTTTAGGAAAAAAGCAGCAATTAGGTATTTTGGGAAATGCAGAGCAGATGGATAGATAAACAAGGAAGGTCCAGGGCTAGTCTACTGTTGGATCATAGCGTGTTCAGACTGAGAAGCAGTAAAGAGAGGTATCTGTGGTCAAACAACAGGGACAGTCAGACATAGTACTGAACTCATTAAAATAGCTTAAGAAGGCTAGACAAGATGTGGGTTTAGGGTTGATGCAATTGTATGTCAAACTCATACTCCAAAAGTCCAGCAGTCAAGAAGTATTGCTTGTTATTTAAAATGCACTACTTGTCTTATATAAAGCATAACATAAGATCAAGCAAAAAAGCTCCAAAGACTTAAAAAATGAAATATTTACATTCTGTGCCTGAAATCACTATGGTCTATGGAAGAATTTATTCAGTAAAAGGCAGTCTGTACAATATAAAGATGTAAGTCATATGTTCAAACCCAGAAAGAGCGATAATATGAGTTCATATAGATTGTTTCCTTGATTATTAATACTTCCAGAATAGAAGGGAACCAAAGAAGATATTTGTATGAGAAATTATAATTAAAGGAGCTTGACATTTTGGTGATTGAAATAACAGAATAAGGCAGTATGATTCAGATTAGATATATATATATATTTATACTCGTATGTAAGCTCCAAATGATTCTCCAATCAGCTTTTCCTTTCCTGCTCTTCCTAATGCCAGTGCTAGCACGGAGGAGGAAATGGAGGAGACGATATGAGCCCTCTGTGATCTCTCATTCCAACTGGAATTGAAATTGCTCATTGTGTTGCAGGACCCCACTGCCATTTTAGGAATCAGGAAGCAGTTCTAAATGTGAACAACGTTAGTGTGAAAAAAGAAATCATAATGATTATATCTTCTTGGGATACTGAGAGTTTACAAAGTAAGAAGGCTTTTGAGAAGGGAGATGATTTTAAGCAGAGATGACCAGCAAATAAGTAAAAGTTTAAGAGAGAAAAAAAAAATCCTTAGTCTCTAAATTTGTTCAATGGTAGTTGAAATAGGTGAAATGAATTGACTACAAAGGTCAGTAAATGTTCTGGGCATTGCAGTATTTGGAACCCTCATTTCTGATACGTGTAGTCAGTTCCCTGTATAACTATACAGGGTCAACAGGAGACACCTGAAAGAACAAGCAGCACAGGGAAAAAGGGCTCACCACTGGTGATGCTTCAACAGAGTCGTGAAAGCTGTCAAGGACTACTGCCAGAAAGATTCACTCTGAACATCCGAGATGCTTAACATCCAGACAAAACGGCAGAGATGCTTTTTTGACCATAAGGATAAAAATACAAGACAGTGACAAAAAGCAAAGCTGTTGTAAGAAGATTTAAGAGGCACTGTGTTAAGGTGGCTAAGGAACCAAGCAGGATCTGAAGAATGAGATGCCTAGCAACAGAAGATGCTATAATAAGATGAATATGGAGAGTATCTGCAGTTTTGAAACATATTTTTTATTTCTTTTTGTTTCTAATGCTAAAATAAATGATGTTCTGGTTCTAACAAGACTCTCAACTCAGTAGCTACTATTAGTGTGTGCGAAGGAAGGAAACAAAGAAGCCTGATCTTAATACCCAGAGAGACACAGGAGTTACGGAGACACAGGTCCCAGCCTGAGAGAGAATCATGGAATTTCCCTGGAAGCTAGGCAAAGGCCTAAAAGCAACCCCCTTAGAAAGAGCTTTCAGAAGGTAGTTTGAAATGTTGTACCAAACGAAGACTTGCTTGTCAATGTTTATATGTATTAACTGGGGAAATACTGAAGATGTCAGACAAGTTTAGAATAACATTGAAGCCTTGTAACATTTCAGAATTAATACTACAATTTAGCACTAACTTTATTGCAACTTAGCACTGATGTTAATGATGAAAAAGTGAGCTGGAAGCCACTTGAAGGAAAGCTGTATACTCAGCGGTGAGGATCTGAAGGGGAAAAATACCTGCCGTGTCTTGATGCTCTGTCCTCTCGTAGAGAGCTTCTTCCCAGTTGTGAGGATGTCTCGCTGGATTTCCCACCATTGCAGATGGACTGGTTTGTGGTCTGGCTACGTGGTTTGGAGTGCTGCACGTGGCTTATGACATGCCGGTGATGGGACTCTTATTTTTCCTTCCCTTTAGTCCCAGGAGCTGCATTAGACCTTCCCGCACTTGCTGATAGGGGAACCGTGTCAGGCATCAACACCAACAATTACACACATAGCTAAGGAACATTAGCAGAAAGCTAGCAATGTGGTTAAAATACTAGAGACAAAGGTGCACACAAAATGAAAGGAAATCAATCTCCACTAAATTGACTGAAGTTCTCATAAGAGTGCATCCTGTAATCTTCATGGTACTTTGCAGATATGTTAAGCGTGCTATCTCACTTCAGGAAAATGTTTTGAAGCCTGGACTATCCCAGATTAATGGCTGAATCTGTATTGTCATTGCTACACCCAAAAAACTCCATAGCTAGTTAAAAATACTCAAAACTGCACTGACGATGAAGCATTTTGCAGAGCTAAGTTTCGACTGGCTTTGTGAGATGCTGTGTTTTGTCAAATTAGAAGAGCCATATGTGGTAGAAGCATAATTATCTGTATAAAATCCAAGAAGAAATGTACTCATTACTGTGTACTTGTGGGTGAAGACAGGACTTGTAGTACTGCTTATAGCTAAGGTTGACTGAAGCTTCAAATCATATGACACGGTTTCAATACTTCTAAAATTTCTGAGCTCTTAGCTATTTTGGATACAGTGCTCTACACTGGTTTTCCGCCTTTTGCTGAATCCCAGTTAGAAAGTTTCAGGTAAAAATACTTCAGTCACAGACATGAAGAGTTAAAGAACATGTGGTTGTCTGCATAATATGGAACTTCTTACAAGTTGGGGAGAAGTTGCCTGAGATATTGCTTATTATGCCAAGACATAAAATTCATCAGTGGGATGCCTAAGTTTCACTGTTACTGTGGGGAAAAAAAACAAGCGAAAAACAACATTCAAGGCTGTACTTAAAAATTACATTATTGACAAGAACTTTGCCATTTGTAACATAACTCAGATAAAAAAGGAGACAGAAATTCATAACAATTCAGACTGAAGAGACATTGAAAAAGAATAAGACAAAATTACAGCAGTGAAGATGTGCAAATGGTGTTAAAATGTGGTTCCAGGCTGAGAAGGCCAAAATCATGTTCAGCCTTTGAGCCTAAGGCCATCTTCAAGGAAATATTGCCTCCATAGTTGTCTGGTATCTGTATCATAATATTATCATCTTTGCTGTATTTTAGATCCTGAGTGATGGGAGAAGGGAGGGTGTTTCATGAGGAGTTAACTGACAAATGAAGTATATTTCCAAATATAAACATATATAGAGAATGCCCTAAATGTCAGAAGCTACGAAGTAACTTTTTTTTTTTTCAAGAAATAATCAAAACCAAACCAAGAGATCTTTATTTGATCCAAATTTCTGCAGAAATCTGGGTCTTTGGGTCAGTCTGCAAAGCTGTTGAAAAATAAATTTGTTAAAAAGCACAGTGCTAAGTACAGAGTGGTACATTTGTTTTATCAGTTTAAATTAAACTAATTAAAGTAATGACATATATAGATAGATCAGATAAGAGTTCTGAGATTGATAGTTGCTTTCCTCAGAAAACATTCTTCCTTTTTGACATGTATAATTGATATGTAGGAAATGAAAAAAACATTTTCTATTATGAATCTCGTTGGTTTCACATTTGAAATACCAGATCATTCTTTCTTTTTTTTTTTTTTTTTTAATTTAAGTTAGGTTTTGTTTTAGCTTACAAAACATTGAAGCAATACGGTGTATGTAAATGTTTTCATATATGAAGTTCGACAAGGCCAAGGGCAAGGTCCTGCCCGTGGGTCGGGGCGATCCCCAGCACAGACCCAGGCTGGGCCCTCGAGGAGCGGCTGGAGAGCAGCCCCGAGGAGAGGGGCTGGGGGGGCTGGGGGGGGGAAAACTGCCCGTGAGGCAGCCCCGTGCGCTGGCAGCCCAGAACCCACCCGTGCCCTGGGCTGCAGCCAGAGCAGGGGGGGCAGCAGGGCCAGGGGGGGGATTGTCCCCCTCTGCTCCGCTCTGGGGAGACCCCCCTGCAGTGCTGGGGCCAGCTCGGGGGCCCCCAACAGCAGAAGGACACGGAGCTGCTCGAGCGGGGCCAGAGGAGGCCACGGAGATGCTGGGGGGCTGGAGCAGCTCCCCTGGGGGGCCGGGCTGAGAGAGTTGGGGGGGTTCAGCCTGGAGAAGAGAAGGCTCCGGGGGGACCCTGAGAGTGGCCTCCCAGGGCTTAAAGGGGGGGCGGAGGGGGGACGGGACTCTGGGTCAGGGGGTGTGGGAATAGGATAAGGACTAACAGTTTTAAACTGAAAGAGGGGAGATGTAGGTGAGATCTAGGGCAGAAATTGTTCCCTGTGCGGGGGGTGAGGCGCTGGCCCAGGGTGCCCAGAGCAGCTGTGGGTGCCCCCTCCCTGGAAGGGTTCAAGGCCAGGTTGGACGGGGCTGGGAGCCCCCTGGGCTCGGGGAAGGGGGCCCTGCCCGGGGCAGGGGGGTGGGACTGGGGGGGCTTTAAAGACTCCTTCCAGCTGAAATTATTCTATGTTACCACTTTTATTTCCAAGGCTAATAATGGCTTATTTGTACAGTTTGAAAAGTGTCATTCTGATCTATACAGGTGTTATACCCATACTCCCGTTAAATGTTGAGATTTCCATTTGAATGTTGCTTGAAGTCTTGCTGTGATCTTTCTGCCAGGTTCAGCTTCAACTTTAATAAACGAATATAGCTCAGAGAATGTGCAGAATGACTCATTTTATTATAAAACTGTTTATGGTGAATTGATTTGAATTAGTTCTAGAAAATTCCCCCTCTGCCTGTTAGTGTGGCCATACATGCTTTCCGGTCCCGCATCCACTTCGCCCCCAGGACAATGAGTGTTTCTGCAACTGAACAGCCTAAGCTACTTTGACCTTTTCCAAGTAAATCTACTTTCCGGTTGGATAAAATGGACCTGAATTAGATGGATTTGGAAATGATGATGTAATGACACAATTTTAATGTAAGGAAAGCTTATGCTGGTGTTTGTGGAAAAAGAATCAGGAAGCCTGCCAGCATGTGATTTGGGACCACTCAGTGCAGGGGGTCATAAAAATGCAGCAGAAGCCAGACTGAAAACACCAGCCTGCAGTACTGCGGCTTGTCCACTCCTCCTAGGCCACCAGCTTCCATGCAGTATTGCACTCACAAGACTGGCTGCTGGAAGGAATCTGTAGCTATACAAACAACAAATTTCTGATCTTTTTTTTTTTTTTTTTTTTTTTTTTTTTTGGATAGGAAAGTGTGATCACTACTGAAAATAACTGTCAATTAAAGATATTGGAGTAGTTCAGTCTTTTGTCAAATAAGTTCTTCGAAATACAATGTTGTGTTCTTCCTATACCTATTGGCTTTGTGAAAAGAGTATTCACTTTTCCATAACTTTAATAGACATTACTCCTTATCTGAAAAGCTGCTTATTTCACAGCTGTTTCAACTGTAACGTGAAAATCAAGAGGAGAACACAAGGCAGATACACGTATTGAAATACTTTGATAGCATTTGTCACTCCCCAGTATAGATGAAGAACCAATTTAATTTTTCCTTTTACTCTTTTGGTTCCTGCTCACTGAGTAAATCCATTATTTACAAGAAAGCAAACCTTTCAAAGAGCTTCCATTTCAGCACATTTCTTCAATTTAAAGACGTCATCTCAGAAATTGAGACATAGAAGCTTCCTCCAGGCTTTGATCCATTTGAGCTCTTCTATATGATGCTTTTGCTTTTACGTGGTTAGAACCTGATTATGTGTATTCACTTCAAGGGATCAAGTAGGTTGACTTATCTGTGATTCTCTATCTTCACTTTTTTTTTTTTTTTTAAATTTTTTGGGCTATAATCATGTTTGGCTTTTTCTGGTCCTGAAATGTCACTTATCTGACAGGACTTCTCAAAAATAATCTCCAGTGGTTCAGAGGTTATTCTGGCTGTTTTCTCAAATACTGTAGATTGAGCTGTCAAGGCCCTGGTGATATGAAAGCATCATTTTATCTCACTACTTTTAATTTGTGTTCTTCCTGTTCTGTTCAGCAAAAGTTGTATTGTCAAATGCTTGGTTGCAAACTTTTTGGGGGAAAGCTGAATCAGAAGATGGGTGGCCAAATCCTGTATGGTATAAAGAAGCAACTTCGGAAATGAAACCCAGAAGTACACCGGATAAAGGTATGGGTTACTGTGTGCAAGAAATATTTTGTTTCAGCAGTGTGGAAACCTGTTCTCAAGTCATCCTGCTGATATTATTTTAATTTAAAAAGAAACTTTAAAATAAAAGTTATATTAAAGTAAAAAAAGAAAAAAAAAATGATGGGAAGATTGATATTGAAGGATCTTGGAAGGATCAGAACAGTCGGGGAAAGGATTAGGATTACTGAAAATATATGATAGTATGTAGGGATTTACATCTTGTTCTTCTATGAAGCGTCTTTAAAACTGGTAATTGACATTTATTATTGAACTTGACTAAATTTTACCAACCTGGACCCAGGTGGACAAGCCGCCTTTACTTAACTTGGAAAAGAAATATACATATAATTATATGTGCTTGATAAATAAGCAGTATTAAGATAGCAGTATTAAGACAGCAGCATAAGGTTTCTTATATAGTATTATAGTGTATCTTATACAGTATTAAGATAGCAGATGGTATTAAACATCCAAACATGCAGTGATGGGGGCACTATGATGAGCAAACAATGTATTTCCTTTTTTTTTTTTTTTTTTCCTTTAAAAATACGAGCGTGGCAGACGAACTGACTTTTTTTCGTCTTTCTTCTTTTCTTCTCTTCCTCCGCATACGTTTAGGGACCTGCTACCCACGCTGCATTCACAGCCGCCAAAGCACAGATTCGTCCACGGACACCCTCAGTCCCGAGGTGCGACGATGCGACTGCCACACAGGCAACAGCAACAACAGAAAAAATAATAATTAAAAAAAAAAAAAAGAAAAAAAAAAAGAAAAAAAAAAGAAAAAAATTTAAAAAAAAAGAAAAAAAAGAAAAAAAAAGAAAAAAGAAAAAAAAGAAAAAAAAAGAAAAAAAAGAAAAAAGAAAAAAAGAAAAAAAAAAGAAAAAAAAAGAAAAGAGAAAAAAAAAGAAAAAAAAAGAAAGAAAAAAGAAAAAAAAGAAAAAAGAGAAAAAAAAGAAAAAAAAAGAAAAAAAAGAAAAAAGAAAAAAAAAGAAAAAAAAAGAAAAAAAAGAAAAAAAAAAGAAAAAAAAAAAGAAAAAGAAAGAGGTGGGGGGGGGCAGGATAAGCCCCCTCCCGCTATGTCCTTGCACCGCCGCCTGTATATATAGGCGAGCCGGCAGCAGCGCGCACCGCCGTAGCCGCTCCGCGCCCCTCCGTTAACTTTTCCGCGCCCCTGCGCAGCCCGGTTCCGCGCATCCCGCCCCCGCCGCGGCCACCGAGGGGCCGCCCGGGGTTTGGGGCGGGGGGGGTGTGTGTGTGTGTTCCCTTCCCGGCCTCAAACTTTCCGTCTGTCGGGGTCGGCGCTCCGTCCCCTTCCCTCCCTTTTCGGTTCCACGTCGCGGCTCCAGCGCCTCGGCGCGGGGAGGGGGGCGCAGGGGAGCGGGAAGCTCCGCTGCTGTCGCCTCCCGCAGTCGGGAAGGGGGAAGAAGGGGAGGATGGAGCCGGGGAAGGAGACGCGGGCGGCCGCGGGGGAGAAACCCGGCGAGGCCGAGCCGGCGGTGTCCTTCCAGGCGCGGCTGTGGAAGAACCTGCAGCTGGGGGGCAAAGGCCGGAGCGGCGGCGGGCGGGCGGGAGCCGACCGCCGCAGTGCGGACCCCCCCGCCCCGGCGCCCGGCGCCAAGGGGGACCTACCGCCCGGCGGGAAGCGGAGCGGCTTCAAGCGACGGCGGCAAGTGCTGGACCGCGTCTTCTCCTCCTCCCAGCCCAACCTCTGCTGCTCGGCCGCCGAGCCCCTGGAGCCCGGCGGGGAGCCCGGCTCCGCCCTGCGCCGCCTGAGGGAGCACCTGCTCCCCCAGGGCAAGGGGCCGCCGCCCGGCCGCCGCGAAGAGCCGGCCGCCGGCGATGAGGGGCCCAAAGGCGGGAAGGAAGGGCGGAGGCCCGGAGCGCACCTGTCCCACCAGAAAAGCTCCTCGCTGCCCAGCACCGCCTGCCTGGAGCAGCTGCTGCAGGGCTCGCCCACCGCCGGCCGGAGGAAGGAGCAGCGGGCGGAGGGCGGCGAGGTGAGACCCCGGACCCCGTCGCCCCCCGCGGGTGGCCCCTCGGCGGGGGGGGGGGGGGGGAGGCGGGAAAACGGCGTCGCCTCGGGGGGAGGAGGGGCGGGTGTGTGGCGGCTGTCGCGACAGGCGGTGTCGGGATGGGGGGGGGGGGGGGTCCGCACACGCACGACATGGCCGCGGCGGGTTGGGGAGGAGTGTGTGCGCTCGTACTCCGGAGCAGGAGCGACCTTCCCTCCCTCACGCCTTCCTTGGGTCAACCGCGCGGGGAAAAGGTGACCCCGAGGCTGAGGTTGGGGTTGCGTACCCGTGGCGCTGGTTCCCTCGCTTTTGCCCCCTTTTTACCCCCGGAGCCGCCTGGTTTCTCCGTGGGAGCCCCTCGCGGCTGGTTCCTGCCCTTGGCACTTCCAGCACAGCTTTTCCTCAGGTAACCTCCTCTTTTTCCTTGCCTGGTTACCCCAGTTTGAATTACTATTTCTCCTAACCTCCGTGGGAGCCCCTCGCTGCTGGTTCCTGCCCTTGGCACTTCCAGCACAGCTTTTCCTCAGGCAGCCTCCTCTTTTTCCTTGCCTGGTTACCCCAGTTTGAATTACTATTTCTCCTAACCTCTGTGGGAGCCCCTCGCTGCTGGTTCCTGCCCTTGGCGCTTCCAGCACACTTTTTCCTCAGGTAACCTCCGCTTTTTCCTTGCCTGCCTAACCCCATTTCAGTTACTAGCCTGCTTATCCCATTTGAATATCTGTTTCTTCTCATCTCTGCAGGACACCCGCACGATGACCACTAGTACAAATTTAAGCCAGTAGATAAGCGAATTGGCAGAACATACCAGACACCGTCGCGCGCAGCCGTCGGTTCAGGCTGATGAAGTAGTCGTTCCTCCCTTGTCGTTGGGGGGAGGCGGTGTACACAGCCATAGCTCTTCCGACTGTCAGTTTTGAAATTAAGTGGTGAAGCTAGCGTTGATAGGGGCTGCCGGATCTTGGAATGAATTTCCAGTGAGAAAAGTGCAAAACACATGAGTCATTCTGGAGTTTGTGTAATTCTAAGCTGTCAGCCACTTTTTGCAGGAATAGTTGACTAGCACGTATTATTATATATTGTCTTCTGTCATAATTAGGAAGAAATAACTGAAGTAAAAGGCACGCTCTGTTTGCTGTCAGAAAGAAGTTGTGTGAATATGTGGCGTCTGTCAGGGCTGCAGAACCTGTGGTCGTGGTCCAGCAATGAGCGTTGGTGGTTCTGTGACGACCCGCAAGCATCCCTCGGGGTCAGCGGGACTTTCATGTCCCTCTGCAGAGTTCAGCCCTCGTCTTTACAAACCTGGGACCTAGACCTAACTTTGCCTTCCGTCCCAGGGTGCTGTTTTGTTGATAAGCACCGTGCTGAATTGAGCCTACTGTGGTTATCCCATGGATAAATCACGTTTGTAAATGCTTTAGATCGTTGCTTCTTGAGGTGGGGTTATTTTGAGAGGTGTTTGCAAAGTCGGTTCTTCCCTTCATTAGTCAGTCCCTTTCTCCACACTGGCTCACAAAAAACGTGTTGCACATTTTAAGTATTGTTTGGGACTACAGGATATTGTTCTGTTTTAAAAACTGCTACATTTAGCAATTAATAAATAGGAAAATGTGGGTTTTTTTACAGTTCTGCTGTTGTGTTCAGCAAAGAAACAGCACATGTATTTGCAAAACATGTCAATTGTTACTTAGTTGTGAGGGCATTACTCTTTTTTTTGAACAAGGTACAGTCATAACATTTGGAAAGGATAGTGCTAATAAGGACAAAGTGGTACCCCAGCTTTCTAACACTTGTCTTTAATTAGCAGGATTATGGCCAATTCCTCCAATCAGTTTCTAGTACTAACTTGGGCTGTGCCTGCATACCAAACCTGCTGGTTTTGATGTTAAATGAAGCTCGTTTTGTCCCTTGCATGCATGTTGGTGGAGTTTGCAGAGCTGATGATCATGATGCTTGTTTTGAAGAGATGATCTGAAACAGCTGTTCTGCTATTCCATGATCAGCACATACTCTGCTCCTCTCATCTCCAGAGGTATACTCTCACTCAGATTATTAAATCTGATACAATTCAGCAGCTTCACTGAGCTGTGGGATAGTTGAGGAAATGAGACTTGGACTATGAAGGTCTCTTGGGCTGTTTTCAGTTGTGTCTGTTATTCTTCAGTGGTCTGTTACAGAGCAAGTACCTTCCACTGTGGGCAGATGGACTTTCCAATTCAGTATATTTCAGGAGTCAAGTCTGGTACACGTACATGATGTACCCCAGGTCAGTAAGACCCCTGCCTAACTTCAATGTTGGCATTTAATGCCCCTCTGAGTATTTGGGATTAGAAGTCTGGTAATACGAGTTTGGAATCATTTATATTTTCCAAATCAGTGTTTTACTTGCAGCAGCAGTGTGTGGATTTCTATTGCCCAGCAGCCTTACATATCCAAAGATCAAAAAAAATTCTAGCAACTAACAGAATCACAAAAATAAGATTAAATTATCTAAAAGGGAAAAAAATACTAGAATTACAACTTGCTTTAAAATGTATTTAAAATTTGATTGAAAAACAGTAGCAAATACTAGTGCTGCTTTTGGATCAAGACACTTGAATTTTTTAGCAAATCTGTATACAAGAAGACCCACTAGATATTGTAAGGGAGATAGATGGTAGGGAAAAATAAGATCTCATGAGAATTCAAATTTCTTGTGCTTTTAAGCTAAATACAGTTGTCATCAGTGAAAGGGAGCACAAGTTAGTGGATGGGAAGACTTACAATGTAATATTCTGTACTCTGTGGATTTAATGTTGGAATGTACTTTTTGGCATAGTCAAACGATTTAAAAATAATTTGAACTAAATAAAATGTGATATAGTGATATAGCATCGGACATGGGCAATCTAGCAGAGGCCTAGTTCTCTCAGCATTGAATAATGCTTCTGTTGCAGTGAACAGGATTCATATCTTGGTTCGAGTAAAAGTGCACACTTAAGGGTGGAGTCTTATGCAAAGAATAACCATTACATGTGAGCACTAAATATTGATCTAGTTTTCCCCCGAAGACTGAATACTTCTCAAAGCTGTCCTTGATAGTTTTGGGGAGAGCAGGGCATCATAATTACTATATTTGCTAGCAGGAAACTTAGGTTCCTTTTAAAGAGTAGCCAAAGTGTAAATTTTGTTTATTAGGACCAAGAAATAAACATTTATGGAATTAAACATCATCCTCCTTTCAGCTTCCAAAGGCTCTGTGGCAGGTTTGCTTGGCCAAACCTTTCCTAACCCTAGACATGGCATCTAGTCACCTTCATTTAGCCAAGAGCAGCGGGACATGTGCTGGATCCTTGAGGGAGCAAGCCAAGGGTGATGGAAGCTTCCTGGAGTGCTTCATGGGCAGGAGGTGACAGCAGCCCTCCAGGGGTTCTGCTGCTCCATGGAAGTGGCTGAGTGTGCTACTGTGCCCCAAGGCAATGCAGCAAGGGTTTTTACACTTGCCCCTTACAATTTACATCTCCTTGCCAGCAGGAGCTTGGATTTATCCAGCAGTGCCTGTGCCAGCATGGCCTTTCTCCTCTATGTGAGATGTAGCTTTGCATGAAAAGCTTTAGGCCACTTGCAGTTTGTCATACTCATGTAGTGAAAACCTGGAGGGTGGAAATACCACTGTTTTTTAAGATTTGCAATAATCATAGAATGGTTTGGGGTTGGAGGGACCTCAAAGCCCCCCCAGTGCCACCCCCTTCCCCGGGCAGGGCCCCCTTCCGCCAGCCCAGGGGGCTCCCAGCCCCGTCCAACCTGGCCTTGAACCCTTCCAGGGAGGGGGCACCCACAGCTGCTCTGGGCACCCTGGGCCAGCGCCTCACCCCCCGCACAGGGAACAATTTCTGCCTCAGATGTCACCTAAATCTGCCTTCTGCCAGTTTAAAACTGTTAGCCCTTATCCTATCCCCACACCCCCTGACCCAGAGTCCCCCCCCCCTCTCCTGCCCCCCCTTTAAGCCCTGGGAGGCCACTCTCAGGGTCCCCCCGGAGCCTTCTCTTCTCCAGGCTGAACCCCCCCAACTCTCTCAGCCCGGCCCCCCAGGGGAGCTGCTCCAGCCCCCCCAGCATCTCCGTGGCCTCCTCTGGCCCCGCTCGAGCAGCTCCGGGTCCTTCTGCTGTTGGGGGCCCCCGAGCTGGCCCCAGCACTGCAGGGGGGTCTCCCCAGAGCGGAGCAGAGGGGGACAATCCCCCCCCTGGCCCTGCTGCCCCCCCTGCTCTGGCTGCAGCCCAGGGCACGGGTGGGTTCTGGGCTGCCAGCGCATGGGGCTGCCTCACGGGCAGTTTTCCCCCCCCCAGCCCCCCCAGCCCCTCTCCTCGGGGCTGCTCTCCAGCCGCTCCTCGAGGGCCCAGCCTGGGTCTGTGCTGGGGATCGCCCCGACCCCCGGGCAGGACCTTGCCCTTGGCCTTGTTGACCCCCATGAGGTTTGCCCGGGCCCCCCTCTCCAGCCTGCCCAGGTCCCTCTGGGTGCCACCCCTGCCCTCAGCGTGCCCCCCACCACACAGCTCGGGGTCGGGGGTGAACTTGCTGAGGGTGCATCGATCCCACTGCCCCTGTCACCAACAGAGATGTTAAACAGCTCCGGGCCCAACCCCGGCCCCCGAGGAACGCCACTCGTCACCGCTCCCCACTTGGACATTGAGTTGTTGACCGCAACTCTTTGCGTGCGACCCTCCAGCCAATTCCTCATCCTCCGAGTGCTCCATCCGTCACATCCATCTCTCTCCAATTCAGAGACAAGGATGTAGCGTGGGACGGTGTCAGATGCTTTGCACAAGTCCGGGTAGCTGACATCAGTTGCTCCTCCCTTATCCATCAATGCTGTTACCCCGTTGTAGATGGCCACCAGGTTCATCAGGCATGACTTGCCCTTAATGAAGCCATGTTGGCTGTCACCAATCACCTCCTTATTTTCCATGCACCCCAGAAGAGTTTCCAGGAGGATCCATTCCATGCTCTT